GAGGTTGTGGGAAGGAACTGGGGAAGAATGCAGCTTAGATAAGGAGACGTAATATAGCGAAGATGGGAAAATATGGGAAATAAATATTTCAGAAAAACTCTGCTATAATTAATACATCTGCTTGGGAATTTACTATTTTCAAGATTATGCTTTTAGCTCAGAGTAGCATTAAATAGGGTTTTTTTTTCCTGAAATCCATGTGGTTTTTGCTTGGTTGGTGTGAGTCTTGGCAGAATTTGTCAATAGTGGGTCATTTTTCTAAGGTGAAGATTTCTGGTATGAGATGGGCTACAACTAAGAAGAATATGCTTGGAAGGCACCTTGCAAACATGTGGAAGAGGAGAAAGGGCACCAAGAAAGTAGTGTGATGCCAAAGTGCCAGTACAAGACTAGGACGATTATGAAGAATACACCATAAATAATGGCAGGAATAATCCAAGGCACCTGACCCAAGAATTCCAGAATCTCTATACAGATGCAGGTGGAAACAGGAAGAATTAGAAGTCACTACGCAGGAAGTCAAATATGATATAGTGGCCATTACTGAAACTTGGTGGGATAAAACTCTTGGATGAAAGGAAAAATGAATGGATATAACTTAATCAAAAGGCCAGACAAAAGAGGAGGAAGAGAAGAACGTGATAATGAGACAGGAATTTGACATCCCAAAATTTCCCGAAGCGGTTGTTCTCTTTATCCTGATTAGTGGCTGCAGAACGTGAGGAGCCCCTGAGCCACATTGGCCTACTCTTCCCTGCAGAGCTGAGGATCAAAAGCCTTCAGGAGGAAGGAAGCCACGGATAAAAAACAGTAAGGGTGGGGGACAAGCAGGCATTTCCTTTTGCCTGCCGCCTTCTGATTTTCAAGTCTTCCCTACAGCATCCCTCTGCTGCTCCAGGGAGAAAGGAGGTAACATCCTGGCAGAAAAACAAAACTGGTATAACTCAGGGTCTTTCTTCTTCCACTCTGCAGCTATTAATTGAGATGTAAGAGAACGATGAGAACAGAGAGCAAAGATGAGAATAAACAACACTATGGTTTCAGCAATCGTCATGGTCCTAAGATTACAGGCAGTCCTCGACTTACAACAGTTCATTTAGTGACCGTTCAAAATTACAATGGGATTAAAAAAGTGATTTACAACCAATTTTTACACTTATGATTGTTGCAGCATCCCTATGGTCACGTGATCAAAATTCAGATACTTGGGAACCGACTCATATTTATGACAGTTGCAGTGTCCTGGGGGTGGGGGGTGGTCATGTGATCACCTTGGGTGACCTTCTAACAAGCCAAGTCAATGGGGAAGCCAGATTCACTGAACAACCGTGTTACTAATTTAACAACTGCAGTGATTCACTTTACTATGTGGCAAGAAAAGTCGTAAAATGGAGCAAAACTCGCTTAAGTGTTTCACTTAACAACAGAAATGTTGGACTCAATTGTGGTCATAAATTGAGGACTACCTATATATGATTTATATATAAATCTAGTCTGCTGGGGAACATCTTTCAGTTTCCTTTACCCGATCTTCATCCAAAATTATATTCATAATGTAAATATGGAGCTAGGGATACATTGAAAAAGAGGTGTATGGCACTGTTTTGTCTTATATTTCCCAGTGAACTTATCAATGTATCGTATTTTTCGGACTATAAGATGCAGCGGAGTATAAGACGCACCTTAGTTTTTGGGGAGGAAAATAAGAAAAAAGCTGATTCGTGGGTGGATTGGCCTCCTGAAATACCCCCAATCAGCTGTTTCCAGAGGTGAACTTTAGCAACAGGTTCATTGGTTGTGAGCTCTGCGCCTTGCTTTTTTTTTCAGCCTTTGAAACCTCCATTTGAGAGGCTTTTTTTCCAGCTTCTCAAAGGGAAGTTTCGGAGGCTTTTTTTCAGCCTCTGAAACCTCTGTTTGAGAGGCTTTTTTTCCAGTCTCTCAAAGGGAGGTTTCGGAGACTTTTTTCAGCCTCTGAAACCTCTGTTTCAGAGATTGGGCAGGGCTACATTTGGACTATAAAACGCCCCCGGATTTTCACCCTCTTTTTGGGGGTAAAAAGGTGCATCTTATACTCTGAAAAATATGGTATTCATTCAAACGCCTTTATGGAGAAACAGGTTGGAATCAGGAGAAAAGCGGACATGCACAGTAAAAACGGAGTTATATGTGACTGTGTGTATTACGCATGCTTCCCATAATCCCAGAGAAAATTCAGATGCTTTGAGGAGTTTTAGAAAGATGTTAAGTTTGTACCCTTGAGTATCCCAAAGTGCCTTTTTGAGATTGAATCTGCACCCCAAAGCATTTTTTCCTTTGAATTTGAAATCTTATACACAGTCTCTCTCACACATACGTTATTAGTTATTGTAACCATTCTGTGAATGCAAATGTGGGATATAAATTGAGTGAATGAATTACAGGTAGTCCTCGATTTATGACCACAATTGAGCCCAATGTTGCTAAGCGAAACATTTGTTAAGTGAGTTTTGCCCCATTTTACGACCTTTCTTGCCACAGTTGTTAAGTGAATCATTGCAGTTGTTAAGTTAGTAACATGGTTGTTAAGTGAATCTGGTTTTCCCATTGACTTTGCTTGTCACAAAAAGCGATCACATGACCCCGGGACACTACAACTGTCATAAATATGAGTCAGTTGCTAAGCATCTGAATTTTATTCATGTGACTGTGGGGATGCTGCAACAGTTGTAAGTGTGAAAAATGGTCATAAGTTACTTTTTTCAGTGTCCTTATAACTTTGAATTAAGCTACCTTGATATTCTGATGCCCTGATATTATTCACGAAGCTTCTGATCTAGTTTATAAGAGATCTGCTCCACTAACCAGACTGCAATTATCTAAAATGATCCAAATATCTGAACTCATTGTATATTATTAACATCAATGTGACCTTATTTAACAAGTTTAAGCTTCTTGATAATCTCCGAACAGTTTAGATATGTGGGACTGTGTTTGCTTTATTTTCTTATTTAGAATATGACTCTCCTAAGCTGTTTGTTCTAGTCCTGAATTCATTTGTTACCAAAATGCTAGATTAAGAAAACAAACAGTACCAGTGGCCATTTAGAATGAGATGTAGATAGAAAATACATTTGCCCTACCAATTCAGTGTTATCCCAACATTTTGGGCTTCAGCTGTCACAATTCCTCCATTTGGGGTATGAGAACTTAAGTCCAATATACCAATTTGGAAAAGTAAATATTGATGGATCTATTAGCTCCAATTTTTTCCCAGTTTTTTTACATTAACAATATTACTTATTTTCATCCTCCTTCTATATGAAAATAAAGAAGTTGGTACAAAAATGGTATACACATTTTAATTTGTTCTGTTACTCTTTCTCTACATTCTACCTAACTAAATGCATCATATATGCATTTTAATATTATAAAATGTGAAGAGCTGCAAACATTAAAGGATGTTACATTTCAGTTTACCTGTTGGCTCAGAAAATACAAATTAAGGTATGTGGGCAAAAGAAGTATTCTTTCCACCCCTAAATGTGGATGAGAATATTTTTTTAAAAGCCACCTTCCGAAGTTATTAACATTATTGATACCTGACTTAAACCAGCAGTGGAGAATCCATATCATAAACTATTGTGAATGTAGGTGCTTGTGTTAATTCATCCTGTGAAGAAAAAAAAGGGCCCAGCATTTTTGAAAGACCATATGTTGCCTGCTCTTGCCTAAATAGGATCATAATGTTTAAAGATTGATTTCTGCTTTGGGGAAGAAAAAAAAAACGGCTATTGAACTTTTTGTGCTGGTCCATCTGAATGATTCTGTGTCTCTTTTGGGATGGATGGATAGATGAGAGAGAGAGAGAGAGAGAGATACTGCCCATCTCTCAATAATTTAATTTTTTTTTGTTGGTGGACCTCTGATTGTTTAAAAAAGAAATTGAGTGGCCTGACTGTAATTATTTTTTACTGATAATTTTGTTCTACTTTTGTACCACTGGAAATGTGAAATAAAAGTTATTTTAGGTAAATATATATGAATAAAATATGTATTAGCTTTTCGTATCTTCCTTTTTGTTTGATATCTATGAAGATTCTTAGTCATTCAGATCATCATTGTCCCAAAGGTGCTTTTTCAAAAAGCAACTGGGCTTTGTTTTTCCTTGAAGACGTTTCACTTCTCAACCAAGAAGCTTTTTCAGTTCTTCAGTTCTTCTTCTTCGGAACTGAAGAAGCTTTAACAGATTAATAGAGTTGGAAGGGGTCTTGTAGGTCATCTAGTCCAACCCCCCGCCCAACCAGGAGACCCTACACCATTTCTGACAAATGGCAGTCCAAACTCTTCTTGAAAGTCTCAAGCTTCTTGGATGAGAAGTGAAATGTCTTCAAGGAAAAACAAAGGAAGTCCAGTTGCCTTTTGAAAAAGCACCTTTGGGATTCCTTTTTGTTTCCATGCTTGTTCTGGTTTTTGCTTTATGGCCAAGGAATTGATAAAAGTTGCATAAGAATCTCTCTTCTCTTCAACCTGAGAGCATTTCCTAGTCGAAATCAATCTCCTGAAAACAATAATTTGACCCAAATTATACAAGTTCAAAACTGCAATGTAACCTCTGTATTTGTAGATCTTGGGAAATTAATGGCTTGGACTGCAGAAGGAATTGATATTTTGATGCGATGTGTTTTTAAATGAATAAAAATGTAACCATGCGATCATTTGATTTGCACTGCTTCAAACATACACAGTAGTTCTAACCATTGTTCTTTTTCTGGATAATGGCATAGCCTTTATGATACCCGATCTAGAGACCTTAGTGGTAGCTGAAGCTGCCTTCCTGTTGTGGTTTCCTAAGGGAAAGCTTCATTGAGCAGAGTGGAATTTACTTTGGAGTAGCCTTGAGATAGCACTGTTTATATCTGCAGTGAGGTGCTGCAAGAACAACTGGAATATGACACAGATGCAATGGATAGACATGAACTCCTTAGATATTTGCTTCTCAAGTTTTCTGTTTTTCTCCATAGCTCCTGCCCAGGCCCAGATCATTCATGCTGGGCAGGCCTGTGTTGTAAAGGAAGATAACATCAGTGAACGAGTGTACACAATTCGGGAAGGTGACATCCTTGTTCTGCAGTGTTTGGTTACAGGGCACCCACGGCCACAGGTAAGCTTTCTCTTCTTATTATCAGAATATTGTTTGACCTGGTATTCTCAGGTATTTTCAGCTATATCGATATAGAGATTCTCTTTCCTTCTTCATCATCGTTTTTTAAAGTTTTATTCTGACTGACTTTGAGCAACTCTGGGAAGCTATCAATAACCAAACGAAGATATTACAGTAAAACATTTAAAATAAAGAGAGAGAGAAAAGATAGCAAGTGCAATAAAGGAGGGGTCTCATTCTCCCTCACTTAAGGCCTGAGTGTTTCATCATTTCCCATTCCCCTAGCTGGCATAACCAATGGCAGGGAATTGTAGAGGTTGTAGAACCAGGAAACTAATTCATACAATCCACAATATGCAGATTCCTGACCAATTCAATCTAGAGTTGGTGTACCCTGCAGGTCTTTTACAATTCTTTTGAACAGCGGCAAAGTGGTGGCCATCTGAATCTCAGGGGGGGGGGAATCTTATTCTTCATCCTTATCACCAACCTTAGTCTAATTAGGCAACCTGCCAAAGGCTTTTCTTGGCAAAAGTTCAAAAGCAGAAGATGCAGACAAGAAATAAATGCAGCAAGACAAGAAACAAATCTATCAATGTTGTTTTCCAACAAAGAGCCCAAGAGCCGTTGCTGGTCTTTTAAGCCTTATGGGAGGGGCCAATAATCTCTTGGCTTTACTCCCGAGTTGTCCTTTTTGCTTTAGCTGCTCTTGCCTTCTAGCAGGTCTTTTCATGCGTGCACTAGGAACAGGCTTCTCCTGTTCCTCTGTCTCTCTGCTGTCAGCCTCTGGAGGCTCCGGAGTCCGCACATCACTCCCAGATGGCCCTGGCCCCATCTCTGCCTCTGACACAGAGCCCTCATCCGGGCCTTCCCCAGCCTCCAGGACTGGCCCATGTTCTTCCTTAGCCTCATCACTGTCTGACTCTGCTGCCAGCTCCGCAGGCTGCTGGCAGACCACAACACTACTACAGAGAAGACATTCTTCTGAGGATCCAATTTATGATTTTGTATATTCGAAGAAACCCATAGGACACCAGCCCTGCAAGATTGAATTGGCCAGGCAGAATATCCACTGAATATGTGGCATTCAGAAATGTCCAATGTCTAATGAAATAAAAGACAGTCAGATTCACCATAATGTGGTATAATCCTTCTGTTTTGTTTCGTCCACAAAACAGAAGGAATCGGTATATTGTGGCTAATATGAGTTGGTTGTCTTGTCCTATAACTTCTACTAAAGAGAAACATTTAGAAGGTATGGCATTTTGTATAAATATTGAGTACTTTGCAGGGCCTTCTTCAGTCATGTTAACTTGCAGCTTTTTAGTGTTCTAATTTTCCAGAGTAACTACTTTGTTGTTGTTAGTTGCGAAGTCATGTCTGACCCATTGCGACCCCATGGACAACGTTCCTCCAGGCCTTCCTGTCCTCTACCATCCTCTGGAGTCCATTTAAGCTTATGTCTACTGCTTCAGTGACTCCAGCCATCCACCTCATTCTCTACCATCCCCTTCTTCTTTTGCTCTCAATCTTTCCCAGCATCAGGCTCTTCTCCAGTGAGTCCTTCCTTCTTATTAGGTGGCCAAAGTATTTGAGTTTCATCTTCAGGATCTGGCCTTCTAAAGAGCAGTCAGGGTTGATCTCCTCTAGGACTGACCGGTTTGATCGCCTTGCAGTCCAAGGGACTCGCAGGAATCTTCTCCAGCACCATAGTTCAAAGGCCTCCATTCTTTGGCGCTCAGCCTTTCTTATGGTCCAACTTTCATAGCCATACATTGCAACTGGGAAAACCATAGCCTTGACTATATGCACTTTTGTTGGCAGGGTGATGTCTCTGCTTTTTAGAATGCTGTCTAGATTTGCCATTTGTCTAGTTTTGTAGTGTAACTACTACATAGGCAGTAACACATACTGAAGACTGAAAAATTTCTCATCTTTCCATTAATCTCACATTATAAGAGTGACCTTAACCTCCTCGGAAAAAAAACAATTTGAAACATGCAGGGGCATGTCCTAAACATCTATTTTTAAAACATTAAAACAGCTGCATTCTTTTTTCCCAGGTTTGTGATCTGCTTCAAAAGCTTCCCCTGGATGTCTTTGCATGCAAAGTGTGTATGTCAAGCCAAGTTGCTTCACTGGGAGAAAAATATGGAGAATTATTGGGGGAAATGTAAAGCAATTGTGCCTTGAACATGCATGTGGTGACTTTTAGGAGCACCTTCCAAAGCAATAATACAAGCCTGGAGAAAATTGCACCTGCTTTAGCAATTCCCCCAAAAGTGCTTCAGATATCCAAAATATCTCTTTCAAAATATTTTTACAGCATGAACTTGGGCTATTATTAAGTAAAATGAGGCCACCTTTTTCAAATGACAAGAAAAAACCTGACTCTAGTGTAGAAGGCAGAATTACAAACCACATGATCAGCTGACTTCGCTTCCTGCACAAAAATACAATGGATATAAACTGTGTAATTTCAGTTTTGAATGGTTTCTCTATGGCATGCATTCTTCTAACATTGCAATGTCTTGATCTAGCCTTTTATAATACCTTCAGAATGGCACTTCCTGCTTAGAGGACAAGTTTACACAGCTAGGGGCCATCAAGGCAAAGAGTTTGGGAATATATTTCTATTATTATTTAAAAGTTGAGAGAAATAGAAGATTCAGGTCTTTTTGTTCATACTATACATGATGCAGGAGGAAGACAGCATACAGATAAAGAATTTCTATTCACTCATGTCATGGCTGTTATATCCATGTTATCTGAATTTACAGCATGAATATAAATCCGTATTTCGTGATTTCTAGGGCTCCCTCCTTTCTCAAACTAGTTTTCTTGCCTTTGTTTAGCATTAGTCAGGAAGGGACAGAGTTTTGAAATTTGCTTGAAAGTTTGTAAAAAAAAAAAAAACCATTTGACTAACAAATTTGTGTGATGAGTAACACACACAGGGACCCACTGGGAATGGACAGCAGTTCTTACCGTCTCTCTTCTCATCCTCCTCTTGTATCACTTTTCTGCTTCCTCTCCCCTGCTTCTCCAAATCAAAGATTTGTCTTTTAACCTTTGCTTAATCCCTTCCAACTGTTCCCTCAGTTAGTCATTAAAGTTCCAAAATATGGTCAAACTAAATAAATGAAGCTGAAATGAAAAAAAAAGCAGAGGAAAGATTAAAGAAGCAGCAGAAGCAGCCATGCAAACAGAATGCTCTTTAAGAGGCTTCAGGCTTCTAATGAGGGGACAAAGGCTAAACAAATCCTTCATGGGCTGCCATTAATTCTACAGGTGGAGCAAGGTGGGGTTGCTGAACCTGATCACTCCAAATCTGAAATCCAAGCTACTTCGCATATAGATAATCAATCAGAATAGAGCTGGAAAGGACCTTGGAGGTCTTCTAGTCCAACCCCCTGCTCAAACAGGAGACCCTATACCATTTCAGACAAGTGTCTGCCCAGCCTCATTTTAAAAATCTTCAGTGATGAAGCACCCACAACTTTTGAAGGCAAGATGCTCCACTGGTTAATTGTCCTCTCTGCTTCTCCTTAATTCCAGGTTGCTCTTCTCCTTGATTGGTTTCCATCCATTGTTTTTTGTCCTGCCCTTTGGTGCTTTGGAAAATAAATTGTGACACAAAGACTTCCTCTTTGTGGCAGTCTCTCAAATACTGGGATACTGCTATCATGTTATGTCATGATATATTGTCATGTCAGGCCTGTGGGCAAGGAGAAGATTACCAAAAGCATATGAAAGTGCTAATATTGTTGCTTTCCAAATTTGCAGTTTTATAGCCAAATATTTTAATTCCCAATTGTCCCTCATGGTTTTTGTCTGAATTTGACAAATTTGCTCTGTTTAAGATTTGGATTAGCATCTGCAAAATGGGAGTAACTGCCTTTCGTTACATAGAGAAACGTGTGAAAACTACTTCCAGTCTGAAGTGAAAATTGTCCCCAAACCCACATCTAATTTTTCTCTCACTTACTCACTTTTTATATCCACTCACTCTGAATCTTCCAAAATATACTACATGAATTCCATAAAAGACTGTTAATTGTATTCCCCCCCCCTTCCACTGTTTCTGGTCCATTTCACACATCAAGCAGGGGAAGGTAGTCAGAGGAAATCAAAGCATGTGGGGATCATATCGTGGCAAGGATAGGTTTCGCTTGAAAGCAGCTGATTTGGTTCAGACTGACAGTAGCCATGTCTGGGGAAAAAGCTAACTTGATTATCAGAGCTAGAGACATGGTTATGATTGTATTGAACCGTGTGGATGGAATATAGGATGCTGCTTTCAGTATTCATAGGGCTTGGTCTATCCTCTGTTTTCATCTATAATGACTAAGACTTCCTTTTCATGCTTAGAAATATCAGTGGAAGAACTTGATGCTTTCTGCATGCCAGGTATATATGCCTGAGGCCTTAGCAACCTCACCAGCATCAGCTCACATCCTACCTTAGGTCAATATCCCTGATAAATAATTATAAATTAAAGCTAACACAATTGCTAAGGAGGCCAATTTTAATTTAAAGGATCCTTTTGCTATTGGTTTTTCCGTTCTCTTTAAATAAGGTGTAGTTGATATTTTAGGAATGAATTCTGCTAGTTGAGGAGTGAAATCCTTACCTTACAAAAAAGGAGGGGAGAGTGTCAAGGTAACGATAGAGGAACTGGATGTGAGGATGGAGGGGCACTGAAGCACTACTTCATGATGAAATTGTGGGATTTGAAACTTCACTGATTCTGGCAACCAATTAGAGATGTACGGATAGTCTATATTTGGCTCCACTTGTCAGGAGAAGTTGTAAGGCAAGAAGCCAGCCTATGGAGCCTCTGGCTAAAATTGCCTTCAAGTAGGGATGTCCATGTTTGCCATATGAGAAATCTGATTTTTCTGCTGAGTAGAATTTTTGCCTACAGAAGATTCCAGGTTCAATTTCTAGTAGAGTTCATTGGGATACAGAGAATTTCCTGCCAGGAAATCTGGAGAACT